AATGAACTACAGTATGTGTTGGAAAATATGGCTGTCATTACACCATTATAGTTTAAGGTGTGTTCAACTTTTAAATACATGCTTATTAACAGAGATTAAATAAAATCTCTGTTACATTAACCAGTGGATTACTATTATGTAGTTTGAAAGTAGTGATTCTTTTCCAAAAAAAATATTTTATTAGTATAAGAGCAGACAAGATAGCATATAGAGCATATACAGCTATAGATCACAGTCAGAACATAGACATGACACGTTGTCTCCCGTTTTGCAGACGGGACTTATTGTAAACTGTAAAACAAGGCCATGTGGAATGGAACAGTACATCAAACATACACTGCAACCAATGGATCTGCAGAGGAAAGAGAATCCAGCAATGTAGGTGTGCATTATCACGTCTTGAATCTCAGCATATATTTATGATGGAGTGGTATGAAGATTAGGGTATGGAGGGCACTGAATGTTTTGGACGTCATGGCTTACTTATTCATAACTTAAGTATATGATACAGTTGAGGTGAGTCATATCTGTGTAAAGGTAGGTGCTCTATTCTGGTTGGTGATGAAGGAATGATAAGGTGGTGTGACAGGTGTGAAAAAGGAGAGGTCGGAGAGAAGAACAGGATGAAAAAGAGATGCGGGATGAAATGGTGGGGGGATATGGGGGAAGGGAGAAAAAAAAAAGGGTATATGGGGAAGGGGGGAAGTAAGAGGTTACGCGGAGGTAGCGTGTATAGGAACTAGAAAATTAAGGTGGAGCACATCCCCAAGTATTAGCCAAGCCAGAAAGGTAGTTATAAAGCTTAGAGTATGGAACGTGTAAGGTCGGACAGCGGGGGTAACACTTGGATCAGAGACCTCGTTAGGCATGTCATAATATATCTCTACAGCCCATCTTTACGCATGGTAAAAGTGTCCCTGGTGATCCGGGAAAAGTAGTGATTCTTTAAATACAAATGGTATGTTCTTTATTTGGATCATAGTTCTTTTGTGAATGTCTGGAAGCAAACTAACTCCAAGTTCATAACATTTTCATCCTCTCATACTGCATGCTGCTCTTGCCTATAACAATATTAGGCACTGTTTTTGTGTTAGAAAAAAATAAAACTTATAGTAGAACAGATGATTATGTTTTTTCAATTTTAAGTCATTTGTTTTTTGATTATAGAAAACACAAACCTTTCATAACTTGAACTAAAACATTACAATTTTGAAGATCTACTCTTTAATATTTTATGAAATTACTTTTAATATGCATTGGCTATGGCCACAACTTCAATATCTTTTGCAGTAAAAACAATATTATGGATGTTAAGCAAAAGCTTTGTTTTCTGGAATTGGCTTATGTGGTTTTGAAAATTCATGAACATAGAAAACTGCCTGGAGTTATACAGTGTGCAGACTTTCTAATGAATTGTTTTCTGCTCGGTTATATAAATAATGTTGCACTACGACAAAAATCTTTTATTGCAGAAATGAGTAATGGAGAAAATCATGTATGTGGAAGTGATTAAGGGTGATATCATATCAAATTAGTCTGCCTTATAGACTGAAATTAAACTATGAACAAGCTTAAAGGTTAGAGCAACTGAAATTTTATTGGCCTCTCTCAGCAACTTTTCAGTGATTGAGAGTAATGGAACTCTTTCTTTGTTGTGTGCTTTTATTTAAACAAAGTATATACTGTATGGGACAAAAAAAGAAACCTGGGCATTTTGGACTCAGCAGCCAAAAGCATGGGGACCCTTTCCTCGGATCCCGGTTGCAAGGGCAACCTTTGCGACCCTGGTAGTTCCACCACTACTGTCAGGAAGGAAGGAAGGAAGGAAGAAAGAAAGAAAAAGAGACGTATAGCAGGAGGGAAAGAAAGAAAGAAAGAGAGAAAGAAAGAGAGAAAGAAAGAAAGAAAGAAAAAAGAAAGAAAGAAAGAAAGAAAGAAAGAAAGAAAGAAAGAAAGAGAAAAAGAGACGTATAGCAGGAGGGAAAGAAAGAAAGAAAGAAAGAGAAAGAAAGAAAGAAAGAAAGAAAGAAAGAAAAAGAGACGTATAGCAGGAGGGGGAAAGAAAGAAAGAAAGAAAGAAAGAAAAGAAGAAAGAAAGAAAGAAAGAAAGAGAAAGAAAAAGAGACGTATAGCAGGAGAAAGAAAGAAAGAAAGAGAAAGAAAGAAAGAAAGAAAGAAAGAGAAAGAAAAAAAGAGACGTATAGCAGGAGGGAAAGAAAGAAAGAAAGAAAGAAAGAAAGAAAAAAAAAAAAAAGAGACGTATAGCAGGAGGGAAAGAAAGAAAGAAAGAAAGAGAAAGAGAAAGAAAGAAATAAAGAAAGAAAGAATGAAAGAAAGAAAGAAAGAAAAAGAGACGTATAGCAGGAGGGAAAGAAAGAAAAAGAGATGTATAGCAGGAGGGAAAGAAAGAAAGAAAGAAGAAAATAAAGAAAGAAAGAAAAGAGACGTATAGCAGGAGGGAAAGAAAGAAAGCAAGACGTATAGCAAGAGGGAAAGAAAGAAAGCGAGACGTAGAGCAGGAGGGAAAGAAAGAAAGCGAGACGTAGAGCAGGAGGGAAAGAAAGAAAGCGAGACGTATAGCAGAAGGGAAAGAAAGAAAGCGAGACGTATAGCAGGAGGGAAAGAAAGAAAGCGAGACGTATAGCAGGAGGGAAAGAAAGAAAGCGATACGTATAGCAGGAGGGAAAGAAAGAAAGCGAAACGTATAGCAGGAGGGAAAGAAAGAAAAAGAGAGACGTATAGCAGGAGGGAAAGAAAGAAAGAGAGACGTATAGCAGGAGGGAAAGAAAGAAAGAGAAAGGAGAGAAACAGGAGACAGAGAGAGAGAGAGAGAAAAAGAAAGAGAGACATAGAAAGAAAGAAAGAAAAAGAAAGAAAGAAAGAAAGAAGGAAAGAGGGAAAGAAGGAAGGAAAGAGGGAAGTAGAGAAAAAAGGAAAGAAGGAAAGAGAGAACAAAGGAAGGAAGGAAAGAAGGAGGGAAAGAAAGAAAGAAAGAAAGAAAGAAAGAAAGAAAGAACGAGTGAAACAGGAGACAGAGAGAGAGAAAGAAAGCGAGACGTATAGCAGGAGGGAAAGAAAGAAAGCGAGACGTATAGCAGAAAGGAAAGAAAGAAAGCGAGACGTATAGCAGGAGGGAAAGAAAGAAAGCAAAACGTATAGCAGGAGGGAAAGAAAGAAAGCGAAATGTATAGCAGGAGGGAAGGAGGGAAACATGAGAGAGAAAGAGAGAGAAAGAGAGAGAAAAAGAAAGAGAGATGTATAGCAGGAGGGAAAGGAAGAAGGAGGGAAAGAAAGAAAGAGAAAGGAGAGAAACAGGAGACATAGACAAAGAGAAAAAAAGAAAGAGAGACGTATAGAAAGAAAGAAGGAAAGAGGCAAAGAAGGAAAGAGGGAAGTAAAGAAAGAAAGAAAGAAAGAAAGAGGGAAAGAAGGAAAGAGGGAAAGAAGGAAAGAGGGAAAGAAAGAAGGAAGGAGGGAAACAGGAGACAGAGAGAGAAAAAGAAAGAGAGACCTAAAGAAGGAGGGAAAGAAAGAAGAAAGAAAGAGAAAGAAGGGGGAGGGAAAGAAAGAAGGAAGGATGGAAACATGAGAGAGAGAGAGACATATAGAAGGAGGGAAAGAGAAAGAAAGAAAGAAAGAAAGAAAGAAAGAAAGAAAGAAAGAAAGAAAGAAAGAAAGAAAGAAAGAAAAAGAGAAAGAAAGAAAGAAAGGAGAGAATGAAAGAAGGGGGAGAAAAGACACAAGGCTGGCTGGGAGTGTGGCAGACACAGGAGGAGAGGGCAGGAGGAGGAGGGGCAGAACCAGCTTTCTCTCTCCTCTCCCATCTGTGGTGGTGGTCCTGGGGGAAACTGTCAGCACTGGTGCTGCAGGAGGTGGGGGGGGACAGCTACGGGGGGAACATACAGGAGCCTAGGGCATTCAGGCGATGGATAGGAGAGGCGGTCTGTTGAAACATAGAGGAACCGAAAAATACACAGTCCTCTATGTGCTGCCCGGCCCCCTCTCCTATCCAGGTGTCCCCAACCCACTGAGCAAATGCCCGGTGTGCCCTATGGCCAGCCGGACATGTATATATATTTATAGAGAGAGAGAAAAAAAGAGAGATAGAGAAAGCCTAAAGCAGTTGTTAGCTGCCTAATAGTTTCCTTCAGGCAGCTGCACCGACCCGACAATCCAACATATAGAAAATAATTCAAAGAAGGCCGCACTCCACTACCTTATAAATTGTTTTTCTTAATTTAAGAGAAATATCCATCTTGTACATCAAAATAAGTGTTTGATAAGCATGCTTTCGGATCATGTCCTTCCCCAGGAAGGAACACATCATGCTTATTTCAGTGTAACTTGTTCAAATAGTATGTGTATGTATGAATGTAAGTTAGGGCCCTTAGATTGTACACCCCTTGAGGGTTAGGGCCTGATGTGAATGTACAATATATATGTAAAGCCCTGCATAAATTGACAGAGCTCTATAAGTACCTTAAATAAATAAATAATAAATGGAATATCCAGTTATATAATAACCACATGCGACATACATGCAAATACATATCAGCTGCAATTATAGGAGCTTTCCTACGTACTCACAGTAACCATACTCAAATAACAATGAGTTACCTAAAAATAACTAAAAATTACCATAAAAACAACAAAAATAATCTTAGCAACAGATTATACCATGTCATGCTTTCCTATAAGAATGAAGAACTAAATCCAAGTTCCAACCCCTTGGTTGTAAGGTATCCAACTGTTCTTTCTAATATACCTATCTTCATTTCAATATAAACTCCCTATCAGTGGCGGACTGAGAACTCATGGGGCCCCTGGGCAATAGGGGATCATGGGGCCCCTGTGTTCTTGCCCAAACTCAAAAAAGCCTATGAAAAAGATAGCAGGGCATCTCATGGGGCCCCCTACTGACCCCGGGCCCTCGGGCAGTGCCCGAGTTTCCAAATGATCAGTCCGCCCCTGCTCCCTATCCACTCCTTGTCTTTCTTTAGAAATATGGTCAATCACAATGAATCTCAGTTGAGAAATTGAATGTGCACATTGTACAAAATGCCATGCCACTAGCTGCTGGATCAGCCTGTCACGGATAGCATACTTATGTCTTGCAAACCAGTCCTTTACGTTCTGAGTTGTTTCACCTATATAATACAGACCATGTGCATTTTGATAAATAGACCACATAATCCATCTGACAAGTATAATATCCCTTTTTTTTTTTTATGTCCAGAATATGATAAAAAATGAACCTTTTATCATGGGAACACTGTATACAATTCAGATAGGTGAAGGAACTAGTATTGCTTATCTCAAGAAATGTTCAAATCTGCCTAGAAATCAGTTTCAGAGCTGATCATACATCATTAAAAATTGTTTTCTCTCTGCTATAACATGAATCCCACCCTTCCCTGGAAAGTTGTTTCTCAATATCATCCAATGTTTCTTAACTACTTAACCCCAGACCAATTAAGACATTTCCATCATGCATTGAAAAATCAGCATTTTTTTGCTGGTAAATTACTTAAAGTGGTTGTAAACCCAATGGGTTTGTCTGTCTGAGCGCCTCTTTGTAAAATTTTTTTGTCACTCCATTTTTGAGATGTAGCCCTCTGAAGTTTTTCCTTTCTGTGGGCGTGGCAGCAGTCCAGAGCTTAGGTGGTGTAGTGATGTCACCAGAATCCCCTTCCTGCTCTACACACCCTCATCCCCGACATAGTGACGCACACTGGGGGAGTGCTGCCCATGCCCCCTGATAAGTCCTGTCTAATCAGACACCTAGATCTGGACCACCTGACTTCCTCCCTTTCCACAATGATGAGAGACAGAGCTGCCAATCCAGGTGCAGCAGGAGGGGGGTGGAAGAGAAAGAGAGAGATATGCGCAGGAGTGCACAGGAGACACGGACACTTCTCGTGCTAATGCATGAGAGGTATTATGTAGGCTGTCAATTAAAGGAGAGGGTGCGTGGCAACCATTTTATGGCCTGTGACAGTTTTGTTCAATGAGGGACAAAGAGGAAAATAGCAGAAGAGTGTCGAGTCCTTTTCCAGGCAGACTGGGGGTGTATGGATTGTCCTGCTGTTCAGATTATGGTAATGTGATTATCTAGATTTATATTTTTTGGGTTTACAACCACTTTAAATTCCCCACATATTATATGTTTGTTAAGCAGAGACCCTAGAGAATAAAATGGTGGGTGTTGTCATTTTTTTGTCGCACAGTATCTTCTCTTGTTTTCTAACATAACTTTTATGGAAAAAATGCACAAACACAATATAATGCCCAATTTTTAAAAATAAAATATTACAAATTATGTTACACGAAGTATACACTGCTCAAAAAAATTAAAGGAACACTGTTTAATCGGAGTATAGCATCCGGTCAATTAAACTCCTGGGATATTGATCTGGTCAGTTAGGTAGCAGAGGGGGTTGTTAATCAGTTTTAGCTGCTTTAGTGTTAATAAAATTAAACAACAGGTGCACAAGATGGGCAACAGTGAGACGACCCCCAAAACAGGAATGGTTTTACAGCTGGAGGCCACTGACATTTTTTTTCCTTCTCATCTTTTGTGACTGTTTTTCACTAGTTTTTCATTTGGCTAGAGTCAGTGTCACTACTGGTTGCATGAGGTGATACCTGGACCCTACAGAGGTTGCACAAGCAGTCCAACGCCTCAAGGATGACTCATCAATACTTGCCATTGCCAGAAGGTTTGCTGTGTTTCCCAGCACAGTCTCAATAGCAAGGAAGAGATTCCTGGAGACAGGCAGTTACTCTAGGAGAGCTGGACAGGGCCGTAGAAGGTCCTTAACCCATCAGCAGGACTGGTATCTGCTCCTTTGTGCAAGGAGGAACAGGATGAGCACTGCCAGAGCCCTACAAAATGACCTCCAGTAGGCCACTGGTGTGAATGTCTCTGACCAAACAATCAGAAACAGACTTCATGAAGGTGGCCTGAGTGCCCGACATCCTCTAGTGGGCCCTGTGCTCACTGCCCGGTACCATAGAGCTTGATTGGCATTTTCCATTGAACACCAGAATTGGCAGGTCCGCCACTGGCACCCTGTACTTTTCACAGATGAGAGCAAGTTCACTCTGAGCACATGTGACAGACATGAAAGGGTCTGGAGAAGCCGTGGAGAATGTTATGCTGCCTGTAACACTATTCAGCATGACCGTTTTGGTGGTGGGTCAGTGATGGTCTGGGAAGGCATATCCATGGAGGGACACACAGACCTCTACAGTCTAGTTAGACTTCCATTAGGTATCGGGACCCATTGCCAGACCCTACGCTGGTGCAGTGGGTCCTGGTTTCCTCCTGGTGCACGACAATGTCCGGCCTCATGTGGTGAGGGTATGCAGACAGTTCCTAGAGGATGAAGAAATTGATACCCTTGAATAGCCTCCACGCTCGCCTGACCTAACTCCAATAGAACACCTCTGGGATATCATGTTTCGGTCCATCTGATGCCACCAGGTTGCACCTCAGGCTGTCCAGGAGTTCAGTGATGCCCGGGTTAGATCTGGGAGGAATTACCCTAGGACACATCCGTTGTCTCATTAGGAGCATGCTCTGACATTGTCAGGCATGCATATAAGCACATGGAGGTCATACAAACTACTAAGTAACATTTTGAGTTGCTGCAATGAAATTTTGGCAAAATGGACTAGCCTGCTGCATCATTTTTTCACTTTGATTTTCGGGGTGTCTTTAAATTCAGTCCTCTGTAGGTTGATAATTTTCATTTCCATCAAACAATGGGTCATTATTACGTTCCTAACACATTACCCAGTCCATATCAGTATTGATATCCAGCATGATTTTTTTCCCCATTGAGATCTGATGTGTTTTCAAAATGTTCCTTTAATTTTTTTTTTGAGCAGTGTAGATAGCAGACATGTCTCTTTAAATCTGTGCACACCCGTTGAAAGGCAACAAACTATGGAACATTAAATTATCCATAGGAGGCACTTCAAAAGCCTTTACAGGTTACCAGTTTAGAGTCCCACAGGAGGTCTGGTGCTAGAATTATTGCTCTTTCTTTGCTGTTCGCGGTGATACCTCACATGTGTGGTGCAATCTCCATTTACATATCCGTACAGGTTCGCCTTTGTGTGTGAGCACAAGTGGACAGGGCACCTAAAAAAATATTAACTTAATTTGTTTTAGTTAAATTTATTTATTTTTACATTTTACCTTTTTTGATTCATTTTATTGCTATTACAAGGGATGAACAGCATCCCTTGTGATAGCATGGGCCATGACTGGTCCTTTTTTATGGGGAGATGTTGGCTCTATAAGACCCCAGATCTCTCCTCTAGCCTCCAAAGAAGCAGATCAAACCAAGATCTGCTGCTTTGAAAGCAAACAAATCAAAACTGGAAATGATTAGATCTCCCCAAATGGATGCAGATAACAAAAGATCAAAAATTAAAACAAAAAAGAAAAAGTTTGGCTTTAGATATACTCTAAAGACTTTCTTGCCTGTATGTAATGTCTGGGTCCGTTGCATGTTGATTTTTATATCTGAGAGAAACTAAAAGATAAACGATTCTCTGTGTTTTTTTTATTATGTTTCCCATTGTGTACTTTTGTATTATTATCAGTTTTACAAAAAATATTACCCGTTTTGAAATTTTGCAAAAAAAATAATAAAATGAATTAAAAAATTATATATACTTATATATATATATATATATATACAGTCATGGCCGAAATTGTTGGCACCCTTGATATTTCTCCAGGAAATCATGTATTTCTCATGAAACGTATTGCATTAACACATGTTTTGCTATACACATGTTTATTCCCTTTGTGTGTATTGGGACAAAACAAAAAAAGGGAGGAAAGAAAGCAAATTCGACATAATGTCACACAAACCTCCAAAAATGGGCTGGACAAAAGTATTGGCACCCTTTCACAACTGCGGATAAATAAGAATGTTACAAGCATGTGATGCTCCTGTAAACTCCCTGGGGCAAGTAACAGGTGTGGGCAATATAGAAATCACACCTGAAAGCAGATAAAAAGGAGAGACGTTCACTTAACCTTTGCATTGTGTGTCTGTCTGTGCCACACTAAGCATGGACAACAGAAAGAGGAGACGAGAACTGTCTGAGGACCTGAGAACCAAAATTGTGGCAAAATATCAACAATCTCAAGGTTACAAGTCCATCTCCAGAGAACTAGATTTGCCTTTGTCCACAGTGCGCAACATTATCAAGAAGTTTGCAACCCATGGCACTGTAGCTAATCTCCCTGGTCGTGGACGGATGAGGAAAATTGATGAAAGATTGCAACGCAGAATAGTCCGGATGGTGGATAAGCAGCCCCAAACATGTTCCAAAGACATTCAAGCTGTCCTGCAGGCTCAGGGAGCATCAGTGTCAGCGCGAACTATCCGTCGACATTTAAATGAAATGAAACGCTATGGCAGGAGACCCAGGAGGACCCCACTGCTGACACAGAGACATAAAAAAGCAAGACTACAGTTTGCCAAAATGTACTTGAGTAAGCCAAAAGCCTTCTGGGAAAACGTCTTGTGGACAGATGAGACCAAGATAGAGCTTTTCGGTAAAGCACATCATTCTACTGTTTACCGAAAACGGAATGAGGCCTACAAAGAACAAAACACAGTACCTACGGTAAAATATGGTGGAGGTTCAATGATGTTTTGGGGTTGTTTTGCTGCCTCTGGCACTGGGTGCCTTGACTGTGTGCAAGGCATCATGAAATCTGAGGATTACCAAAGGATTTTGGGTCGCACTGTAGGGCCCAGTGTCAGAAAGCTGGGTTTGCGTCCAAGATCCTGGGTCTTCCAGCAGGACAATGACCCCAAACATACGTCAAAAAGCACTCAGAAATGGATGGCAAAGAAGCGCTGGAGAGTTCTGAAGTGGCCAGCAATGAGCCCAGATCTAAATCCCATTGAACACCTGTGGAGAGATCTTAAAATTGCTGTTGGGAAAAGGTGTCCTTCCAATAAGAGAGACCTGGAGCTGTTTGCAAAGGAAGAGTGGTCCAAAATTCCGGGTGAGAGGTGTCAGAAGCTT